AGCATCAGCATCAGCATCAGCAGCATCATCAGCATCCTCATTGCCGTCATCATCAGCATCAGCGTCATCAGCATCAGGATCATCATCATCATCAGAAGCATCATCATCAGCATCATCAGCATCATCGTCAGCAGCATCAGGATCATCATCAGTATCATCATAATCATGACCCTCGTCACCATCATCCGCGGCATCATCAGCAGCATCAGCATCATCAGCATCATCACCCTGATCATCATCATAATCATCATCATCATCATCAGCAGCATCAGCATCAGCATCATCATCATCGCCATCATCCTCATCATCAGCAGCAACAGCAGTAGTGGCAGCAGCATCATCATCACCAACATCATCAGCATCATCCTCATCATCATCATCATCATCATCATCATCAGCAGCAGCAGCAGCAGCAGCATCATCCTGCTGCCTGCCTCCTCCTCCTCCTCCTCCCTCCCTCCCTCATTCCCTCACTCGCTCCCACCACATTGTGGCTACCAGCGAATTCTATTACTCTGGCCCTCCCTCCCTCCCTCCCTCCTCATCCTTCAACCCCGAAGAACTGTCCAATGACAGTCCCGCCGCTCGTAGACCGGGAAGCTTGGTCAGTGATCACTTTCATCATCATCCCTCTTCTCACTTCCTGCTCCTCCCCTCCTCACTCTGGACCGTGTCCTGCGAGCGTGGCCATAATGCTAGCGGCTGGGGGATCCAGTCGGGTGGACGCTGTGAAACCTGTTCCGGCGGCTCGCTGTCGAGCAGGACTTCGGCTCTGCCTAGAGGTAGCGCGTCGCGGTGGGGTGTCGCACGGCCTCTCTGGATCAACAGAGGGTTCCAAAAGCTTCTTCCTCTTCTCACTCAGTCCTCCTCCCCCCCCTCCCACTCCTTTCGGGTCGGGCGAAAGGGGGGGATAGCGAAGCGGGGGGGGTGAGAATCAGCTCACGTAGCTGATTGTCCCGGCGCCTCCCGGCGCCAGGAGGCGGCCATGTATCGAGGAATGGGCCCCCCTGACCTTCCAGAGAGCTATTTTTTAGCACTGGAGGCCTAAAAACCTAAAAAACTGAGCGAAACAGCATAAAACCAAGACGTAGAATAGTTTTGGGATAGGTTTTTAAGTCGCGTGCTATTTTTGTTGCCCTCTTGGAAGGTCAGGGCCTCGGCGGGGCCGAAACCAGCTGCATGCAGCAGAGTTCGTGACACCCCCCCCCTTCCCAGTCCCCCCCCCTTTTCGCCCGGCCCGCTCCTCGGAGCTCCGCCGCCGCACTCCCGCGGAGGTCATGGACCCCCTTCCCCGAGACGGGAGCTCCTCCTCCTCCTCCTCCTCCTCCTCCTCCTCCTCCTCCTCCTCTTCCTCCTCCTCCTCCTCCTCCTCCTCCCCCTCCTCCCCCCCCTCCTCCTCCTCCTCCTCCTCCTCCTCCTCCTCGGGGGGGGGGGCCGAGAGCTGGCCCCAGAGCTTCCCGCCGCGACCCCTGCGCACCGAGGACCCCCTGGGCGTCCCCCCTCCCCTGCCCCCCCTAGGGGGCCACGTGCGAACCCTGCCCCTGCCCCCCACGATTTCGGAGGGGGAGGGTGGGGTACACTTGGCTCGGGAGCTCCCGAGCAAAGGGAACCCCACCCTCCCCCTCCGAAATCGTGGGGTAGGGTTCGCATGTGGCCCCCTACCCAGACATCCGACGTCTTGATTTTTTCGAAACACGGGCACCCGACCTCCCGACCACTTCCCTGGGGCCGGCTTCTCATCCCGGGTCGTTTTTTAACGGTCCCGAGGCCCAGCGAGGGCCCCGAGAGGCCCAAAACTATGAAGAACCTCTGCCTCGATTCTTTTTGTCGAGACGCCCGAGGTCTGGGCCTGGGCATCCCCCCCTCCCCTTGGGCACCCCCTGCCCCCCAGGGGCCAGCCAGCTCGAGGCCCTCGCCGCGAGCCGCCCGGCGGCCCGCGGGCGAGGAGCCCTCGGGGCGGCCGGCGGGGAGCCTCGACCGACGCGAGCGGGCGCGCCCGAGGCGCCCAAGTCGGGCCTGTCCCCCTGCAGGTCACCAGCCTCGAACGCATCCCTATCCCTAAGATTGACACGCCAACAGGCGATGACAAGGGTACCCCCCCGCCCCCAGGGGGGCCCGCCCCGGGAGCCCGAGGCCCCCGCGCGCGGGCCGCCCGGCGGCCCGCGGGCGGAGGAGCCCCCGGGGCGGCAGGCGGGGAGCCTCGGCCGGCGCGAGCGGGCGCGCCCCAGGCGCCTAAGTCGGGCCCTGTCCTTACAGTCGGGGCGTTGACCTAAGGAACGATAAATGAGGGACGAAGCCCCTTCTTTATCCCAAGGAATAACGCACAAGGAACGAGAAATGACAAATAACGCACAAGGAACTGCAAATAACGCATGCAAGCCTAAGGAACGGCCGAGCCTCTTTTGAAAAGTAAATGCTCCTTATTCAAGCCGCTCACTGTACCAGCCTCGAACCTATCCCTATCTCTAAGATTGACACGGCAAAAGGCGATGACAATCTTAGGGATCCGCCCTCACGAAAGAAGGGACCCCCTAAGATTGGCATGGTGAAGAGGCGATGCCCAGCATAGGGATGGGGATATGTTCCAGGCTGGTAAACAGGGGGACTTTCAACGAACAATAGAAAATACCCCAAACATAGTCCAAACATAGTCTGGGGACTCTTGTTCGAGTATTGTTTGACCTTTTTGGATTGGAATACGTTGGGGGTATCTTTATTCGTCGTCGAGAATCCCCCTGTAGGGGGACAGGCCCGACATGACCCGAGGCCCTCTCCGCTGCGAGGAGGGCACGCCGTTTTCTCTCGCCGCCGCCCCCGCGCGCTCTTGGCGCGGAGGCGATGCCGCGAGCCGTCCACCGGCCGGCCGGCCGCCGTGCCCCGCCAAGGCAAGGCGGGCCCTGGCCAGCGCATCGGGCTGCGCCTCCGTCTGACGGGGGTCATGGCCCCCAGTCACCGGGCGAGCGAGAGGAAAAACAAAGCGCACCCTTGCGGCAAGAGACCCTAACCAGCTCTGCACAGTCACGACGGGGGCCCCGGCAGGGGGGCCCCGATGGGGGGCGACGATGGGGGGATCGGACTGTGAAGAGGGACGGGGAGAGGGGTGAGGGGCTAGGAAGATGGGGATGGATAGGAATCGGGACGGTGATAGGGATATAAGAAAGGAATAGCGAGAAGGACAGAGGATAGGGATCGGGACGACAACGGGAGGCCCCGGGAGGCAACGGGAGACCATCGAAGACAACGCCGCCCGACCGATTCCAGATCGGAAGCGCACCTGCTGGTGCCGCACGAGAGGTACACTGAACCCTTAGCGAACGTTTTCTGATTCGGCGTTTCGATTTTGAGCGGAAGGGGGGAAAGAAGGGGGGTCTGGCTCCGGACCTCTGCTTCGTACGACTGAAAAGCCAAGATCTATTCCATGGGGTGAGGGTGCAAGGGCCCGCGCCGATTGGCACAACAACGGAACAGAGAACGATCACTTACAGATCGGGTGCTTATCAACAACCACCACCAAAGTCACCACCATCATCACGATCATAATCGCTACCCTCGTCATCACTACTACCATGTGATCCGTCCCAATTGCACCGTCGCTCTGCTGGCGAACGGCACAGACAGGATGGCCACGAGCGCCACGTTCCTGAGATTCATCTGCACACGGCTGTAATGGTTCCTGCCTGAGCCCGAGAGAGACCGCTGCTTGGGCCACTCTGGGGCAGGATGGCGACCCTTGAATTCGATAGAACAAAAAGAAGCAAGAGATGGCATAGACGCAGACTTCCAGAGGTCCGTGCAGAATTTCTGGGACAGCCCGGCCCCCCCTCCCCACACCCCTTCCCCGGGCGGCGCTGGAGGCGCCGCGCGGAGTTGCAGGGAGGGGGGCTCGGTGCCAACCCAAGAAGCACACGCGGACCAACGAAAATGAATGTCTTTGTACGCCGCGCACACCGCAGGGGGTCTTGTCCCCTCCAGCTAGATTCGAGGCCTGAGCTAAAACATATACACCGCCAGGGAAAGACGATGTGGCAGCGGATATGGTTCTGTCCAGGTTCCCGGGGGGGTCGAAATCCATATCAGGCGGTGTCGAGGATGGGGTTGCCCGGCCGGCGCTAACCAGGTCAGCCAGGGCTCATGTCGCAAACCCCAGTCTGCCGCACAGCTCTCGAACCCCAGGAATCGGCCCCCACGTGACTCCCAGAACGGCCAAGAGGACTGGCGGACCCCAGCTGTGGCGCTGACCCCCGTCACGTGCGCCCCGGCGGTACACGTCTACTCGGAGCTGGGCGACTTGAGACAACGGCAGATCAAAACCAGCCCCCAGACCCCTCCCGGGGTCCAAACGCACCAGCTCCCCGAGCCGCGCCCAGCCGTGGCGACGAGGGGGCCCCCCGAAGCCCAACTGGCGTTGTGTCAACTGGCCCTCCTCTGGTAACTTCCCGGGCGAGACGAATTCGGAGAGGCCGCGCCACAGAGCCGCGCCCCGCCGTCTGTGCGCGGCAGCTCCGACCGCGGGCGGCCGCGGGCGGCCACGGCCGCGGCGCGGCGGCGCCGCGCTCCAAAAACGCGCGGACGCCGAGCCCCGCGGCGGCGCCGGAGACGAGCCGCGGGGCCGAAGCGCCGCCGTGGCGCGGGACAGCCTCGTCGTCGTCGTCGTCGTCGTCCGTCGTCCGTCGTCGTCGGTCGTCGTCGACGTCGGTCGTCCGTCGTCGTCGTCGTCGTCGTCGTCGTCGTCGTCGTCATGGTTCGTCATGGTTCGTCATGGTTCGTCGTCGGTCGTCATCGTCGTCAGTCGTCAGTCGTCCGTCATCATCGTCGTCGTCGTTGGTCGCCCCTCGTCGTCGTCCGTCGTCGTCCGTCGCCTTCCGTCGTCCATCGCGCGTCGTCGGTCGTCGTCGCCGTCAGTCGTCCTCGTGCGTCGTCGGTCGTCGTCGTCGTCCGTCGTTCGTCGTCGTCGTCGGTCGTCGGTCGTCGTCGTCCGTCGTCCGTGGTCGGCGCGGCCCTCAGAGCTCCGCCGAGAGGGCGCGGGAGAGCCTCCGCTGAGGGGCTGCCGCCTCTCCGAGGGGCGGGGGCGGCTGGGGGGGCGGAAGGGGCAAGGAGCCCAGAGCGGCAGGGGGGAGGGGGGGCACGGGAGGCCTCCAGGAGGAGAGGGGGGGGGGGGGCGAGGAGAAGAGAGGAGGGAGAGGGGGGAGGGAGGGCGGGGGGAGGAAGAGGGGGGGGGGAGGGCGGGGCGAGGAAAAGAGGGGGGGGGGGGGGGGCGAGGAAAAGAGGGGGGAGCGAAGGAAAGAGGGAAGGGGGGGGCGAGGAGAAGAAGGGAGGGAGGGGAGGGGAGAGATGGGCACCGTCATGGGGGGGGGCATTCCTGTGGCGGGGAGAGAGAGCCTCGAGCTAGGATCGGCGAGGGCCAGCCAAGGTTCGGGGCGGCACCCAGGGAGGTGGTGAGATGCCAGCAAGAGCTGCAGCAGCACGGGGGCGGAACGGGAAAGCAAGACCGGCCAGCTCCCGCAAGCCGCATCGTGCGGAGGCGGAAAATCTGTGCGTCCGTGCGTGCAGGAGCTCCCAGGAGGAGCCAAACGTGAGAAGAAAATCTGCCGACCCCTCGGCGTGCGTGAGACGCTGTCGTCGTCGTCCGTCCTCGGTATTCGTCGTCGTCTTCGGTCGTCCGTCGTCGTCGTCGTCGTTGTTGTCGTCATCGTCGTGGTCGTCGTTGTCGTCGTGGTCGTCGTCGTTGTCGTCGTGGTCGTCGTCGTCGTCGTCGTCGTCGTCCGTCGTCGTCGTCTTCGTCGTCGTCGTCCGTCGTCGTCCGTTGTCGTCGTCGCCGTCGTCGCCGCCGCCGTCGTCGTCGTCATCGTCGTCGCCGTCGTCGTCGTCGTCTTCGTCGTCGTCGTCGTCCGTCGTCGTCCGTTGTCGTCGTCGTCGTCGTCGTCGTCGTCGCCACCGCCGTCGTCGTCGTCGTCGCCGTCGTCGTTGTCGTTGTCCGTCGTCGTCGCCAGTCCCAAGGAAACTGAGGAACAAGGAAAAAAGGAAGGTCGTGATTGACTCGGCTCCCTTCCCCTTTTCCCCTTCCCTGCCACAATACATCCCTGCAAGTGGGGGGGCGGGGGCTTGAGGAGTCTGGGGGTGGGGGAGGGGTAGAACCGACCCACCCTGGGGTCCTGGCGGGTCCCCGGGGCGGGTTCCCAAGCGGAGGTCCAAGGGGAGATCTCCCGCCCTCAGGGTCGGCGGCCCCCGGTCGTGAGGCCTTCGCAAAAAGAGAGCGCAAGGAGCAAAAGAAGGAGGGAGAGAAAGAGAAGGGAGAGAAGCAAAGAAGGAGGGAGCAAAAGAAGGAGGGAGCAAAGAAGGAGGGAGAAAGAGAAGAGAGTATAAGAAGCAAAAGAAGGAGAGAGCGAAGGAGGAAGGTGTGGGAGAGAATGAGAAGGATGGAAGAGAAGGAGACAGGGTAACGGAGGAGCAGGAGGAAGAGGAGGAGGAACAAGAGGAACAGGAGTGGAACAGAAAAGGGAAGAAGACGGGGGAAGGGGAAGAGAGCAACAGGGCGATTCGGAGGAGCAGCCGTGACAACACCAGCATGTGTAGGAGGGCTCTGTCTGCACAACATCCACGATCCCCATCATAATCATCATCATCATCATCATCATCAGCATCATCATCATCATCATCATCATCATCATCATAATCATCATCATCATCATCAGCAGCAGCAGCAGCATCATCACCATCATCAGCATCATCATCCAGAGCAACAGCAGCAGCATAAACATCATCAAGAGTAGCAGCATCATCAAGTTCAGCCTCATCAGCAGCATCATCAGCATCCTCATCATCATCAACATCATCATCATCACCAAATCATCATCACCACCATCGTCATCATCATAATCATCATCATCATCATCATCATCATCATCATCATCATCAGCATCATCATCATCATCATCATCAAAACCACCATCAGCATCACTATCACCGTCATCGTCGACATCATCATCACCGTCATTATCAGCAGCAGCAGCATCAGCATCATCACAACCACCACCGCCACCACCACCATCGTCGTTATCATCACCACCACAACCACCACAATCGTCATCAGCAGCATATCGTCATGATCACTACCATGATCATCAAAAACATCATCATCAGCATTATCATCATTATCATGATCGTCATCATCAACGTCATCATTGTCAGAGTCATTGTCATCATCATCATCATCATCATCATCATCAGCATCATCATCATCATCATCATCAGCATCATCATCATCATCATGAGCACCATTCACAACCAACATCATTCTTCATCATCATCAACAACATTACCATCAGCATCCTCATCCTACGCCTCATCACCATCAGCATCATCACCACCACCATTCTCATCATCACAGCATCACATCATCACACCATGATCATCATCAGCATCGCCGTCATCGTCATCATCATCCTCGTCATCATCCTCATCATCATCAAAATCATCATCATCATCATCATCAGCAGCAGCATCATCACCAGCATCATCATCGTCATTGTCATCATCGTCATCAATGTCATCATCAGCATCATCCGTCATCGTCGTTGTCCCTCGTCGTCGTCGTCGCCATCACCGTCATAGTCGTCGCCGTCGCCATCGCGCAGTGGTCATCATCATCAGCATCATCATTAACATCATCATCATCCTCATCATCATTATCATCATCAGCAGCATCATCATCTGCATCATCAGCATCATCATCGGCATCATCATTATCATCGTCATCCTCAACATCAGTATCATCATCGTCGATGACGTTGTCGTCGTCGCCATCACCATCATCATCGTCGTCGCCATCGTCATCAGCATCACCATCATCCTCATCACCACCATCATCATCATCATCATCAGCATCAGCATCATCATCATCATCAAAATCAGTGTCATCATCATCATCATCAACATCAGCATCATCATCGTAATCATCGTCGTAGTTGTTGTCGTTGTCGTCGTCGCCAGCATCGTCATCGTCAGCATCGTCAACATCCTCAGCATCCTCAGCATCATCATCGTCGTCATCATCATCAGCATCATCAGCACCATCATCATCAGCATTATCATCAGCAGCATCGTCATCGTCGTCATCATCAGCAGCTCAGCCACCGCCATCAATCACCTCGCCTCTGGCGTAGGCAGCGGCTCAGGAACGTGAATGAAGGTGTTCTGCTCCAGGCTGCCTGCGCCGCTTACATGCTACACCTCCATTCCTCACACCTCCTCTCCTTGAGCACACAGCAGGACGGAAAGGAGGACGAGCGGAGAGGAGGATATGAACAAAGGGTGGATCTGGATGAAAGGCAGGATGCGCAGATCGGGGGGGGCGTAATGGGCCCGCAAAAGAGTAGTGGGGAGGGAGAGGGGGATAAGAAAAAGCAGGCAGAGGAGGAGCAGCAGCAGCAGCAGCAGGAGCAGAAGACACGAGTAGGCTCAGGTGGAGGTGAATGAGAAGGGGTAGGAGCAGGGTTCGGGTAAGAGTGCGCAGGGAGAGAAGGGGCGAGATATTGCAGCCGCGTCGCTACAACCAACTGACAAAAAACACTGAGCTTCCCGGCGTCGAGGTGGAGGGGAGTCCGCCAGTGTCCTCGCAAAAATTGTCCACAATAACTCGAGGAAATGGCCATGGCCCTCAAGTAACAGAAGGTGATTACACAACGCCCGCGCCGAAACAGAAAGCCTTGACGGAAACAAACATCAGATTGTACGATTGAACCAAATAATCGCGTTTGTGCTGTTACTCCGCACGGGCGGTCGCATGATCGATTGTTCCTGCGACCCAGGCGCCATAAGGAGGAGGCCAGGACCCTGTGGCCCTTGTCCGTCCCTTTGCAGCGGACCTGGATCACCTCCTGATACTGCACCTGGAACAGCTTGCCCCGTCCGCCAAAGGGGACCGCCGAGACCCATACCACGAACACCGATGCCATGGCTTGGAAGCGCGACCACCACGTCCTCCCTCGCTCTCTCTCCGATTCCTCCCCCTCGGCATTCACGGCGGCTGTGCACGTGCCCGCTTCCCAGGCAGAAGCCCCCCACATGGAACCCTGGTGGAGCACGGGCTGCGAGATCGGAGGCCGCTGCGTCTCTCGGCAGGCTTCCGACGAGCACCCCGGACGCCACCGAGACCCCATCACTGGAGGCTCCACAGGAAGAAAAAACTGCACAAACATAAACTGTTTGGCGCTCCGCGCGGATTTCTTTGATTCGCGCCGGACCCCCCCCGTCCTGGCGCGCGGAGCGCGCCAGGGGCGGCGCCGGAGGCGCCACAAGTTTCTGCTCATGTTCTTTGTTTTCTCCTTCGGATCGCTGGCGGCTCGCGCGCCATCGGGCGAGGCTCCACGCCACGTGCCGGCCCAGCCGCCCGCGAGCGTCCCGCCCAGAGACTGCGGCCGGCGCCACCGGCAGGTGCGCAGGCGGCGCCTCGCCGAGAAGCGCCGCCGCCGGGGCTGGCGGCTCGCGCGCCATCGGGCGAGGCTCCACGCCACGTGCCGGCCCAGCCGCCCGCGAGCGTCCCGCCCAGAGACTGCGGCCGGCGCCACCGGCAGGTGCGCAGGCGGCGCCTCGCCGAGAAGCGCCGCCGCCGCCGAGGGGCCCCCGCGCCCTCTGCCCGCGCCGAGGGCCCTCCTCCTCCTCCTCTCCTCCTCCTCCCTCCTCCCTCCTCCTCCTCCTCCTCCTCCTCCTCCTCCCTCCTCCCTCCTCCTCCTCCTCTCCTCCTCCTCCTCCTCCTCCTCCTCCTCCTCCTCCTCCTCCTCCTCCTCCTCCCTCCTCCTCCTCCTCCTCCTCCTCCTCCTCCTCCTCCTCCTCCTCCTCCCGCGACGAGGGCGGTCCCGGCCGCCGGGGGCGAGGGTCTGCGCAGGTCCCCAGGAGCTCCCCGCGGGCCACCGCAGCTTGCCACGAGCTGTCCGACGGACTCGCGGGCCTCGGGTGAGGCACCGACCAAGCAGGGGATCGGCTACAGAATTGCTTCACCCCAGCAGCAGCATTTGTCCGTCGGGTCCACGTGCACATGCGCGAGACGCTCCGTGAGTCCACAGGACATCCTACGCACCCTCTCGCAGGCTCAACGAAGATTTTCTAATGCTGGGGTAAATCAGTCCTGTAGTCGATGCCCTGTTCGAACCGAGGAGGGAACGAAGGCCTGCCGCAGGGCTGCGCCCCCCGGAGTGGGCGTCCTGAGCACGGCGCGGGGCCGCCGAGTGCCGCGGGCGTGCTGCGAGCCAAGGCGGGGTGCAGTCCTGGAGGAGGGGGGCGCGCGGAGAGCGATCTGGCGGAAGCTCGGGGGCCAGCCTGGGCCCGCCTGGAGCTCGGCTGGCGGCGAGGAGAAGCAGGAGGGGGGGCGGAGGAGGGGGGAGGAGTACGGAGGAGGGGGAGGCGCTGCGTGCAGAAAGGCGGGGGAGGAAGCGGGGAGAGGGCGTGGAGGAGGTGAGGAAGGCGGGGTGAAGGGGGAGCGAGGAGGAAAAGTTAAGAGGACGGGGAGGACAAGGAGTGGCGGAGAAGGACGAGACGCACAGAATCACGTACCGACGTGGACGCAACCGCACATGCACAGCATGCGCACGTCGTGCATACATTGTGTGCGCACTCGAGGGCAGTAACACACCTGGCCGCCCGCCTGCCCGCCCAAGAGTCGTGCCTGCCGCACGAGCTCGTGCGGGAGAGCGCGCGGATGCGCGCGCAAAGACGCACGGTCTAAACGTCACTCTCGCTGCTGCTGCTGTCCGCAGCACTGGTACCCAGCAACCCGCGGGGGGAAGTGGAGGGGGGAAAGGGCAACAGGAAAAGGACCAGGACGACGACGGCGACATCCACGAGCATGTGGAAGAAAGAGGGAGTTGAAGTCCTTGGAAAAATCGGCGGTGGACAAACCTCACTTTAGTAGACCTCCCCTCAGTGAAAACGGCCTGGGACCGAAACCGACGGACCTGGACCCGCAAAAACGACGGCCGCGACGCCCTCTCGCGAACCGAAAACGGCCAATTCCTTAATCGACGTGTCAGGGTAGGAGGTCTGTCCACCCCCGAAAAAACATCTCTGGCACCCCGCGCCCATCGCCTCGCAGGTGCCCCAAGGTGCTCGGGGTCACCAGCTGCATCGTCCAGATGTTGCGCTCCTCCTGGACGAGAGGCGAAGCGAGCACAGCCAGAGCCACAGTCGGGGTGCAAGGCGGTCGGGATGGACAGCCCTTGAGCGTCAGCGAAGACACGATGTCAGCGGCATCAGGCCCAGAGCATGTGGTGGACCGACGTGGCAGAGACGCAAGGGTTCCTGTGATGAAGCTCTGCATCCTCACAGGCTCCGACTGCGGCGGCGGAGGACGAGGGCCAGCACGACGAGCAGCAGCAACACCACGCGTGGACAGAGTGGCAGGGCTCCGGACCCGACACGAGGCCGGAGAGACTGCTGGAGAGACGAACGCAAGCATGGGAAGGCGCGTGCTTCGGAGAAGGGAGGGACACAAGTGAAATTGTACTACATTTTAGTCAGGCGTGTCCCCCTACAGCGGGATTTTCGACGAAAAATATAAAATACACAAAAATAATCCAAAATGGTCGAAAAATAATTTAAGAAATAGTCCCCAGACTATATATATATATATATATTGACTATGTTTGAATATTCCCCCTGTAGAGGGACAGGCCCGACTTAATACTACACACGAGGGACGCAGGAGCCGAGGAAGGCCAGAGCAGGGAGGCGCACGAGAGGCCCAGAAGGCGACAGGGAAGGGTGCACTTTTAGGGCGGGTGAGGGGAGCACGAGGCAGCAGGACGGGCCAGTGCGGGATGGGCGCAGGGAGACTCGAGACTCATCCTCCTCCTCCTCCTCCCTCCACCTCTCATTTCGAGAGGCCCTCCTCCTCCTCCTCCTCCTCCTCCTCCTCCTTCTCCTCCTCCTCCTCCTCCTCCTCCTCCCTACTCGAGACTCGAGACTCACTCCCCCATTTCGGGAGGCCCCCACTGTAGTCCTACACGAATCCCGAACCCTGACGGTCCACAGAAGTCCCTGGAGGCCTCCAGAAACCCTGGGGGGGGGATGGGGGGGGGCAACTCCATGTTTCGGGGGCCCAAAACCTTGTGGTGACGGACCGCGTGATGACCTCGGAATCCCAAACTACCTCACCGCGCGGTCCGTCACCACACGGTTCTGAGAACTCGGAGACCCCAGTCGCCTGAGACGTCCTCGGAAAACGGTCCGAGTCCAAAAAACCGTGCGGTGAACCCGAATCCCCACTGCACTGACTCACCACGCGGCTTTCGGCGGCCTGCGAGGGGGGGAAGCGAGAGGGGGCGGACCTTCTCAGAAGACTCGAAGTCCCCCTAAGTCTTCCCCGAAGGCACAGAAAACATCTAACAAGGCCGGCGGGCTTCTGAGAAGCCCCGACGCCTGCTGAGATGGTTTTCTCCTTCTCATTTCCCCCCCTTCCCGAGGTGTGGTCACCACACTGCTTGGGGGCCGCCGGTCGACATGTACATCTCCAACAGACGATCCCTTTCCGCCCTCCTCCGGAGCCGCCTCCAGCGGTGGCTGGCTGTGCTGCGCGGCCTCCCCACGCCGCAGGAGGTGCAGGAGAAGGAGCAGCCCAAGTCAAGAAGCCATACAGTCGGCCCGTATCATAAGAATGCGCGATAAGAATGCAAGGGCCGTGGAGGCCCATTTCGAAGCTTCTCGAGCGGGGCGCGGCCAACGAAAGTGGCCAAGGATGGCCGAGGAGGCAATGATTTAAGGGTACCCTTGGGAAGGCTGCCAGTCCTTGCTATGCGGGTTGACTGTACGCCCATTGGCGCGTGGGCGGAGAAAAGCAGAGCGCATCAAGACTCTGAAGCAGAATATGCACGAGCAGATGGGCGTCACGGCGCCACGTCGTCACGCGGCTGCAGAATCATTCAACTACGTCAACGAATCCCACAACGAAGCAGCACCATGGCTGCATGTCTACGACGTAGTGGGACAGGACAGAAGAGAATCTGGCAGAAGGATCAGCTATGAACGGACAGAAAGCTAGAGACACCTGGCTAGCGCGCCAAGGAAAAGGGTTCAACGCCGATCCGACAAATCTGCGCGGACCTGCGAATAGATGTCCATGCAGTTCTGAATATTCTTCGAGTGCGGCGGAAAACCGGACCAGGGAACACGGCCGCCCAACGAAATCATCGGCACACGTTGCCCCAAACCCTGACACCCGAATCGGCCCGATACTTCCGCCAAATCCGTTCAATGTCTGCGAAGACCCCGTCGGTGCAAGGCCTGGCTGGGCGAAGGACGACTTTCGAACCTTCGAACGAGGAGCAGGAGAGGGGCATGAGGAACACAGGCCTCCAAGATGGGGTCCCAGTAGACGGGGTCGGATGATCGCGCCGCATCGCCGATGTATCGGCGCCATCGGCGTGGAGACAATCGGGCTCTGCATCGAGCCGCATCGGTGATGCATCGGCGATGCGGCACGACCCCATCTGGGAAGCCTAGATCGGCGGCGAGCGAGGGGGGGAAGTGAGAGGGGGCGGGCCTTCTCAGAAGGCTCGGTCATCCCCTGGCATTCCGAGAAGTTTGCTGAGCCTTCCCCGAAGACACAGAACACTTCTCACGAGGCGTGAGGGCTTCTGAGAAGTCCCGCCGCCTTCCGAGAAGTCCTTTTCCTTCTCACTTCCCCCCCCGCTCTCAAGCACAGCAGCAGTTGGGGGCGGGTTCAAGAGAGGAGGGCCGCCCCAGCCCTCCTCCTCCCGCCCCACTGCCTCCCTCTGTTCCCCATCGTCCCCCACCCCTTCTCCCTCTGCTCCTCCCCCTCCCCCTCCCCCTCCCCCTCCTCCTCCTCCTCCTCCTCCTCCTCCTCCTCCTCCGCCTCCTCCTCCTCCTCCGCCTCCTCCTCTACATTATCCCTGGCATGCCTTTCCCATCCACTTCTGTTGCTCGTGCTCTTCCCCCTCACCCATCTCCTCCTACTCCTCCGCCGCCACCTCCTGCATATACTCGCCCGCATCTTCCCGCAGTTTCACACCTCCAGCGGGGCCCCGCCTTGATGCAGTCCGCGATAATGGCGGCCCCAGCTTTGGCGGCGCTGTCAGCGTCCTGGTCAAGGGAGGCAAAGGAGAGAGGCGCAAGATGAGGAGGGACTGCGGATGGGGAGAGAACAAGGGCGACCGAGAGAGCAGCAGAAGCAGCAGGAGGGCGGCGGAGGCCCAGGCAGAAGTCCGGACCAGCGCCGGGCTAGGATGGTAGGCGCCGCGGTGGCATAGTACCCCTTACGTTCTCCTCGCGAAGGCCTCTGAAAGATTGGGCATCGTTGAACCGATCCCTACCCCCACTGGCTTGGCCTTGGTCCCAAAGGCCGATACAACCCCCAAGCTGGGGGATATGCGCTGTTCCCTTCGGCTTCCACTGGGCATGTTCCCCAACTGAGGGGGGCGGGGTGGTGGGGCCGAGACGTCATGGCCCGATGGGGATGGGGATCGGTGACACGATACTGAAAGACGGCCCCATGCGCCTGCATCGGCAGCGCGAGCCATCCACCCGGACCGCCCCGCGTCAAAATCAGAATCTCGCAGATCGACTTGGGCAGGGCTTGGGGGCAGAGGAGGCGCGCGTCCGACCCGAACATCTAGCTACCCACCTTGTGGCAGATCGTTTCCCGAGCGACGTGGCCAGAAAGCGCCAGCCACGACGCATGTACTACAAGAGTTCTCGGTGCGCGCCAGGGGCGACGCGCATAGAGTCTTAGCATGCTGGGGTGACGCCGAGCGGAGACCGAGGAGGGGGAAGGGAGGCGGGGGCGCGAGGGCGCACGAGGCAGCTCGCCGCGGCACCCTCGCCGCAGATGCCCGCGCCCTCGCGGGAGGCAGGGACGTGCAATTGGCCGTGGGCGTGGGAGCGGACGCGGCGCTGCTCCTCCTCGACCTGCTCCTCCTCCTCCTCCCTCCTCCTCCCTCCTCCTCCTCCTCTTCCGCTTGGACGTGGGCGTGGGAGCGGACGCGGCCGCGATTGTCGATGCGGGCGCGGAGCAGCGAACAGCGAACAGCCGTCAAGACGCCCGAGAGGGCGGCCCAGGGGCGGGCGACAGGCGTGCTCGGCACGCTGGGCCCTTCGAGAAGGACCGGCGAGACTGCTGCGAGGAGCCGCGTGCGAGGAGCGATCGGCCCGATCTGCGACGGCTCTCACTCGAAGACACCAAGGGGACCTTGAGAACACCTTGCCGTCGCTCGGACGTCCACTTCCCGTGCATGTTTCGGTGTCGTGCGTGTTTTTTTTGCTCGATGGTCCAGGGTGGTCCTCGGTGGTTCTCGCCGAGAAACAATGCACACGTCCGAGCGATGCCAAGACATCGTGGGCGAACACACACACACACACATATACCGTAATACCCGTATCCGCGGCCTCGCGGGCCGGTCCCCTGGGCCGCGGCCCCGCGGATCCGGGGCACTCTTGCCGCGGATGCCCCGCGCGGAAGGCGTCCGCGCGACCGCGCACCCGCGGGAGCGCGCCACGGGGTCCAGGCCACGAGGTTGCGGATACGGCCATGTTTGAAGGGGCCCCAGGACACACAAATACATACACACAAATAAAATGATTCCCTATATTTTTCCCATATTTTCTGGGTTCTTGTCTCCCCCCCCCACTTCCCATATTTTCCCATATTCTCCTGGGAATCGACGAGTAATTGTGTCTGTGTGTGCTGTTGCCCCTCCTGAAAGCTTGCCGCCCGCGAGAGCGGCACCCGCAGCCCCCGGCGAAGTACCAGGGGCCGCGGGCGTGCGGGGCGGCCGAAGGCACTGCCCGCAGGGGGGCGCGGCTCCGGGAGCACGAGCCGCTGCGCCGCCGAGGGCCCTGATGAAAGGCCCCGCGGAGCTGCCCAATGACGACGCAGCTGCTGGGGCGGAGGGCCCACAGGCGTCGACGACACAGAGTGCACGTCGGTCGGAAGAAGCAGGTAAAAACATGAAGTAGGAAGGCGGATGAAGTGGATGGGGTCCAGGCCCTCCCAGAGAATAACAAAACACAGCAGAATCATTTCGATTCTTGAAGTAGGAAGGCGCTTGAAGTGGATTGGGATCTGGGCATCCAGAAATACCTAGTTTCAACGACCGGTGGGTAAGCGATTGCTGATTCTGGGATTCGACATTGGGCCGAAGGATGGGGGAGTGGAGGGCGGGGGTCTGGGTCTGGGCCAGTGCTCAGGCGATCTGCTGCTGCCAGTCGCGCCAGCAGACTGGGAGAGAGGGGCCCTGGCCGGTCGCCAGGAGTAGCCGCCAAAAGCAGCCCCAAGATCTGGTCTGTGGAGGGTGGGGGAGGGGGGGGGGGCAGGGGTCCGCGCCGATCGGCGACACAATGAGGACTGTTTTCACTGTTCGTGCCAGCTGCAGGTTCACGTCGCGATGACGTGGGCGTTAGTTTCTGACACTCCGTTGATCGTACGACCTTGGACGATCGTGGCTTCACAGCTTCCGAAATCCATTCCGAAAGCACGTTTCTTTCGCCGGTTAATCCTTTCAGCCCATGCTTTCCGTCACTTATGTCGCTCAGAAATCCCCATGAAACCCAGGACAGCGTCTCAGTTACACCCGCGCGTGCACACCGTGCGAGCCGGGGCGCAGTCGGCGCAAGCCGAAGAGGTACTCTCCGGAGGACTCCAGAGGCCTCCGAAGCCTCCGGTGGAATGAAGACAATCATGAATCTGTGCAGCGCAAGTCGAGGTGCTCCCCGAAGGACTCCAGAGGCCTCCGATGCCTTGAGCGGCCTGGAAAGAACCACACCCCTGTGTCGTCCTCGAGCCTCGAACCCTCCCCATCCAGAGACATCCCGTGCCGTGATTTCGGGGATGGACAGACCCCCCTTTAGTAAAAAACTTGGTTTAGTGAGAACGGCCTCGGGCCCAAACCTGGCGGGCGCAAGCATGGAAAATGGCGGCCGCGGCGCCCTCTGGAGAACCGAAAGCAGACAATTCGCTAATCGACGTGTCAGGGTAGGAGGTCTGTCCACCCCCGAAGAATGGTTCCAATTCGGGGTCGCCAGAAGTCCAAACCCCCTCCACAGAGCCGGCTCTCCGCCCTGAGCCGTCTCTCAGCGGCCCCAGCACGCGAAAGCGGCCCCTTCAGGCCTGGAGCGGCGAAAAATCGGTTGCCTTGAGTTACCCAAGACGTTGGATGTCTAGGCCCCCTCCTCGACCCCTTCGTCCCAGGACGGCACCACCGTAGAGGAGCGAAAAAACATGGCCATAAACTAACCTGTCGGAGAGGTCCGCGCGGACTTCTTGGATCCGCCCTGGATCTGCCCCCGGCGCACGGAGCGCGCCGGAGGCGGCGCCGGAGGCCCTTCCAGGGGGCCCAGCGACGATCCACGAAACCCGCACAGACCTCCTGAAGTTGAAGGGGCCCCAGGACACACAAATAAATACACACAAATAGAAATATTCCCTATATTTTCCTATATTTTCTGGGTTTCTGTCTTCCCCCCCACTTCCCATAGTTTCCCATATTTTCTGAGGAATCGAGGATTCAATGTGTCTGTGTGTTTTTTCCCCTCCTGAAAAGCGTGTGCTTTATGTCGTTTCTTCGTCTCCGGCCCCGGGCCCGGCGGCGAGCCTGGGGGAGGAAGCGAGAGGGGCAATCCTTCTCAGGAGAGGCAGCGGGGCTTCTGAGAAGGCCTCCAGCCTTCTGAGAAGCCGCCTCTGTGCTCGTTGAAAGCTCAAAAACCTCTCACGTTGCTGCATGACCTGATGCAGGCGCGCATGCATGCAGCGTCGTCGCGCCATCTGTAGCCGCCGAGGCCCGAATCTGGAAGTCACATAGCGCCGTGACAGCTCGAGGGCTTGGTCACGACGTCCCCCCTGGGCTCGCCGCCGACGGGCGTTCGGCCCGGCGCCCAACCCGCAGTCCTTGGCGCCGCCGCCGCCGGGCTGCGCCGCGGGGCGGCCCAGCAGCGTGGGCAGCGGCCCTGGACGCGGCGGCTCTTCGCGGGGAAGGGGGGCGGCGGGACACCGGCCTCCCACGTCTCGGCACCTCTGCTGCGCCTGCTCCTCGCGAATTCAATCAAGAAGATCATCAAAATCGAATACGAATCTGCTTTTCGGACCCAACTCTGGCAGCAAACCGAGTTCGGGCATCTCGATACTCGAGACTAGCGCGTCTGATGACTTCCTTTCGATTGCTGTGGCGAAGAACTCTGCCTCTCCCCCCCCCCTCCCCGGCCCCCTCCGTGCCTGGAGGGCGCTCTCTCGGGCACACGGAACGCCCCGGAAGGAGACGGCGCCGCGGCGCGGCAGCGGCAGTCCGCACGGGCGCTCCGGCGGGCCAGGCCACGGCAGGCACGGAGCTGTCCGGCGGCGCAGGAGGGGGAGACTGAAGGGGAACTGGGACACACAAATAAATACACACAAATAAAACGACTCCCCATAGTTTCCCATATTTTCTGGGTTTCTGTCTTCCCCCCCACTTCCCATATTTTCCTATATTTTCCTGGGGATCGACGATTAATTGTGTCTGTGTGTTTTTCCCCTCCTGAGAGACAGAGGGCGGAGCGCGGCCGCGGCCGGGAGGAGGAGGGAGAGCACTCGCAGCGCGCAGGACTTCGACGAGCGTGGCCGGGCGGCCAGCCTGCGCTGACGCGGCCTGGCAGTCCGCGCTTCCACACGTCAGAGCAGGGGAAAGCGAGGGGAGGGCTCCGACGGCCTCTGGAGGGCCTCGGAGGCCTCCAGAGGGCCTCGGCGGCCCCTGGAGGGCATCGGAGGGATTCGGAGGGCCTCGGGGCCTCGGAGAGCTCCCGGGGGTTCAAGGGGCAATCATAAACTCCTTTTGCTCCTCCGCCTCTCCTCCTCATCCGCCTCCTCCTCCGCCTCATCATCCTTCTCCTCCTCCTCCTCCTTCTTCGTATGTTTCTTCTTCTCCTCCCTCATCCTCCTCCTCCTGCTCCTCCTCCTCATCCTCATCCTCCTCCTCCTCCTCCTCCTCCTCCCTCCTCCTCCTCCGAACGAACGAACGAACGAACGAACGAACGAAAGCCAACAGAGAAGTCGCGGGGAGGGATTCGCACGCGGACGCCGCGCAGGTTGTCGGCGCGCGAAGAGGGGCCTGGGTCGAGAGCACTGCGGCCTCTGAAAGGGTCTCGAGGGGCTTCTTTGGAGAACTCAGAGGCTGCCGAGAGGGCCTCTCCTCAGGGCATGGAGCCCTCCTAAGAAGCCCCCTGTCTTCTTAAAGACAGGGATCCCCCTGCAAGAGCTCGGAGGCTTCAGGGAGGCTTTCTCGCAAGGCAGGAGGGCCTCTGAGAAGCCCCCTGCATTCTAAGAGGCAGGGGGAGTCTGAAAAGAAACCCCAACGACCTATCTTTGGACGCGTTCTGACCAGGCCTTCCAGGCGGATCCGGCCGTGCGACGAAAGCAGCGACTCAGGAGGCCCAAGAAGCCCGAAAAGCTCGATACTCGACTCTCGATCCTCGAACATGGAACGATGACGAAGACCACGACGGCGGCGGCGACGGCGACGACAGCAGCAGCAACGGCAACGACGGCGACAACGGCGACGGCGACGACGACGACGACAACGACGACGACGACGACGTGGACCGCGCGTTAGGATGCGCTCTGAACCAGAATTTCGAGGCGGATCCAGCCGTGGCCACGAGGACGCCCATAAGGCCCGAGATGGGCCGAAAGGGCCAAAGATGGTCGATCTTCAAAGCTCGATCCACGAAAAGACGACGACGATGACCACAACAACGACGGCGCACCCATAGAATTCCCTTGAAGGGCATTCTGAGCAGATTTTCGATGCGGACCCAGCCGTGGCCACGACGGCACCCCCAGAGGCAGTCAGAGGCCCGAGAGCGTCCAAAAGCCTCAATCCTCGAACATCGAACAATGACGACGGCGATAACGGCGGCGGCGACAACTACTCTTGGACCTGTCATGGGGCGAGTTCTGGCTGGAACTTCGAGGCGGATCCAGCCGTGGCCGCAAGGGCGCCGCGGGAACCCCGAGAGACCGAAAGCTCCAAACAACAACGGCATTCGAATCTCGAACCTCCAAACACTGACAGCGGGAGCAGGCAGGACTGCATAGACTGTTCCTCGGAAACGATCCGAAGATCTGATGGCCTTCAGCCCGTCCTGCCACCGTGTCTCGGTTGTGGGTATGAAGCCTATTGGGTGTTCGTTGGGATCTCGTGGGAGGCCTCTCGACGACGACGATAGCGCCAGCGGCAGCGGTCGCGGGGACGACGGCAGCAGCAGCGGCGACGACGACCCCTGGACCCGTCCTGGCACGCTTTGATCAGAATTCGGGGGGGAAAGAGCAGGAGGAGGAAGGAGGGGGGAGGGGGAGAAGGAGGAGGAGGAGGAGGAGGAGGAGGAGGAGAAGGAGGAGGCGGAGGAGGAGGAGGAGGCGGAGGAGGAGGAGAGGGAGAAGGAGGAGGAGGAGAAGGAGGAGGGGGAGGAAGGAAGGAAGGAAAGAAGGAAGGAAGGAAGGAAGGAAGGCAGGAAGGAAGGAAGGAAGGAAGGAAGGAAGGAAGCACCAGTGACGCTGGGGGCACCTCGGGAGTCCCCACGGGCACAGAACAACCCATCTCATCCTCGACCCTCGCCTCCTCCTCCGCCTCCTCCTCCTCCTCGACCTCATCCTCCTCCTCCTCACCCTCCTCCTCCCCCTCCTCCTCCCCCTCCTCCTCCCCCTCCTCCTCCTCCCTCCTCCTCCCCTCCTCCTCCTCCTCCTCCTCCTCCTCCCCTCCTCCTCCTCCTCCTCCTCCTCCTCCTCCTCCTCCTCCTCCTCCTCCTCATCCTCTCCTCCTTCTCCTCCTCCTTCTCCTCCCCCTCCTCCTTCTCCACTTCCTCCTCGACCTTCGAGCATCACACGAAAACGAGCGACGAGCGACGGACGACGAGCGACGACGGCGGCGACGGCGGCGAGAGGTCGTCGAGAGGTCGGCGAGAAGACGCCGAGAGCCCGAGAGCAGCGAGCGAGAGGCCGCTCGAGCCCTGGCCCTCGAGCCTCGAGGCCCTCGGCCCGCCGAGGGCCGACGAGCGGCCGCTGGTAGAGAACAAACAGGAGCCGGGGATAAGGATGAGGAGGAGGAGGAGGAGGGGGAGGGGGAGGAGGAGGAGGAGGAGGAGGAGGAGGAGGAGGAGGAGGAGGAGGAGGAGGAGGAGGAGACTCTGGAGACTCTGCCTGATCGCGTAGCGATATGAATATGGAAGTCCGCTGGCACCTACTGAAGTGCCTGTTGCTTCCCTAATCTCTGGATGGTCTCAGCTTGGCTGAGCGCTTTGGGCCATGCCCCCATTGCAATACGACGCAGATACTCCCGCCCCGTGGCGGTGGGTGTGTCACATGCGACGGCTAACTTCCCGATCTGTCGGGAGGCGTACACCCCGCAGTGGAAACAAAACCACAATTTCAGCCCAGTGTGGAACCTTAAACGATGGGTTAAATGAGCATATCCCCCTGCCACATGTACCTGCATCCCGAGGGGGGGTCTCATATAAGTGCCATCAACATTGACAAGGTCATAACAACTGGTGCGAAGCCATTCATTCCTACGGGCCTGGGTGGAGGAGTTCTGACACCTACTGCACCTACTGCCCGTACTGTCTAGGGTATGTTGTGATGCAAACACGGCACAGACAGCGGGGGCTGGCGGTTTGGCTGGAGCCTTAGGCTTCGGCCTCCTACGACGCGGGCCCTCCTGGTGTGCTATTCTGTCGGCCTCGAGAGCGTCTAAGTGAGCCCTAAGGATCCTCATCCTCACCGTGAACGCCTGCTGCTCGACTCTGGCATACTGCTGACGAATGTGTTTGGGGATCCTGCATTCACGAGCCGCTCCTGCGGCTAGCTCATCCGCGACGGTGTTGCCGTAAGCTAGTGAGCTGCTGATTTTACCTGCACAGATGTCGGTCTCAGTCATATGGGACCGAATGCAAAGGACAACCACATCTGCTTGCCGCCCTCGAACAGCCTCACGGAGGCGGTACCACAGGTCAGCGTCGGCGCCCTCGGGCGCCTCCAAGTGGCCGTTGTAGTAGTTGAGGTAGACACCCTCACTGTCGGTGAAATAGACCAGGTCGCCCACCGTGGTGGTAACAGCCATCAGTAGGGCCATGAGTTCGCCACGGATGACGGTCTGTCGCCCTCCTGGCAGTGGCCCCCATGCGGCGCCCCGCAGCTCCATGCCGTTCCTGTCCAGGTCGTGGAACACGGCGATGGCCACGCCGACGCGGCGCATGGGAACACTGGAGGTGTCGCCGCCGCCACTGCCGTCACCGAAGACATAGATGGGCTCGCCCTGGCCTTGACCGAAACACCCTGGGCCGTAGGCGTCGGCGCCGTCGACCTGCCAGCTCTCGTGGTTAGCTGGTGGTGGTAGACGGGTCCAGCTGCGAGGTAAAAGCCCTCGCGTCCAGTAGCACTCGAACATGTGCTGCTGGGTCGTGGCCTGGGTGGTGAGGCTGTCCGTGGTCTCGTAGATCGGGCTCTCCTTTCTGCAAGGACACTGCCATATCCGATGAAACTCCGTCTCTTCTGCTTCCCCGCATCGCTCGCAGTGGCCGTCGGTGTCGGCGCCCTTGACCTCGGCCTTGACGCGGGCCTTGGGCCACATGGCACCAGTAGCGATGGCCAGCATGAGCGTTGCGAGGCGCGGTCCATTCTCCATAGTCTCGAGGTAGCGTAGCAGCCGTCGGTAAGAATGATTATCAATTCCTTCTTCCATGCCGCCGCCGCCTCGATGCTTGCTGGCTTGGTGCCAGTATCTGTCCTGAATACTGTTGTCCAGGTCGTCCAGCAGCGCCTCGGGGATGTCCACAGCGGGTATCCCTGACAGTGCCTCTGTCTTGAACTCCCATGTGTCGGTGCCGTCTGCCAGCGCCACTGGCAACCGCCACTCGTTGGGTGCTACAGGGTCCCAGCCATTCTCAAGCAAGTAGAGCACGAGAGCGGACTGGGGTCCTCG